AGTCAAATGGTTTTCTAAAAATGAGTTAAAATATATTTGTTTTATTTTGTTCAGCATTGACGTAATTGGAAACAAATCAATTTTCGATAATTATTAACAATAAGCTGTTTACATTTCAATACTTAGGGCAATATACATACACAGACAGGCAGACACACGCACACGCGCACTCACTCACTCTCACACAGACTCGTTCGGCCACTCACACACACACTTACACGCCTAGGTATTTGGATGAAATCTTCTGCTGTTTGGCATCATCAACTACATTTAAGAAGCTCATTATCATCATTCAGATTCAGTTGTTCATGTACAGTTAAGGGTTATGGATAAACGTTTAACACTAGACTTAAGCCCCGATCTAAAAAAAACACGTACGATTAACCTACAGACAAAGCAACCCTACCAAAGCTAGCCCCGAACTTAGCCTAATCGCTCATTCCATCTTCAGGGGCTTCACACTGTTATTGTTTAGATCGATGTAGGGCTTATAGTCGATGTTGTTGTTGTTGTTGTTGTTGTTGTTGTTCTTAGTCTGCATTGGCATGCAGCCCATGCCGCCGGCAGCCCTCAGAGCCGACTGCGCCAGATTCATGCTCCTGCCGCCACTGTGCATGGCATTGCCATTGGCATCGACGGTCTTGTTCTTCTGGTACGTCTTGCGGTAGAAGTTGCCGAACAGATAGAGGAAGATGATCGTGTTGCCCACAAAGAAGAAGGTCAGAGTCTTGGGCATGTTGCAGCCCTTGGCGCCAACGGTGAGCATGTAGCCGAGGATGAGCACAAACTGAATCAGCTGAATGGTGGTCATGTACTTCTTCCACCAGAGATACTTCTGGTACTGGGGTCCCATGGCGGCGACCATGTAGTAGAAGTACATAATGATATGCACGCCCGAGTTGAGGATGCCAATGATGACGCCCTGTTCGCCGGGCGCGTACTTCAGATAGCCCCAGGAGAATAGCACGGTGATCGTATGATGATAGACATGCAGGAACGAGACCTGATTGTTCTTCTTGCGCAGCACAAAGAACGTGGTGTCCAGCAGATCGATGATCTTCGAGAAGAAATAGAACCAGGCGCCCGAGTACAGAGCCAAGTTTTGTTCGCGTGTGCGATGGATTTCGCATTTCTTTGAAAGTATCGATGCCATGACATTGCTCTCCTTGAATGACTGCAATACAAATAGAAATCACCATCATCATCATGATCATCATCACCATTATCATCATTATATGCAAAGATTTGTATTCAATTGTGTTAAGTATACGCCACGTGTGCTTACCGTACGACACATCCATATGGAGTAGCAGACCTGAAAGGCATTGTAGAACACCATAATGCGCTTCAGATCCATGGGCTTGCGATTCTTCATGTACTCCGGACCGATTTTCAGCACGAATGCCAGATAGACGAGCACCACAGCAACAACGGGCGCTGGTGAGCTCATCAGAAACCAGCTGTCCACCGTTTCATCTAAGCGGGGATTTTCAATTTAGAAGTGGTTCTTCAAGCTGCGAGCCTCGATGGATAATACTCACCCACACCCTTGGCCAGGCCGGAGATGCGTTCCTCGAATATTTTCATATAGGTCGTCATATTGATATTATTTTAATATATTTTCTGTTGTTTTATTCAGCTAGATGACTGCAATGAAAAAGATTTGCAAGACATTTAGAAACTTTCGTTCGATCGGATATATTTTTTTTTAATTTTATTTTTTGCTATTTCGCCGCTGACGTCCGAATCGCGCGTTGCCAAATTATTGAATGAAATATTCTAAGCTGAGCGCTGCTTAGACAGGCTGCGCACGTCCGGCACGAATCGAGACCGAGACGGAGACAGCGACTGTGACAGAGACGGAGACAAAGACAGCGTTCGATAGGTAGACGAGTCGCATCGAGTTGGAGCTGTTGCTGGATCCCGGTGCTTGATTATGCTCGCCAGGTGAGCGTGCGCGGCATAGGAATGCAGCTAGCACGCAAATATTTTACTTAATGAAAAAGAAAATGCTAAAAGGCGACGCAGTCGGCAGAGGGACGAGACAATGGGGCGACGTCAGCCCCAAAATCGTGCGGCCAGCTAAATGACGACAGCAGCTGCCACACAGAGGCTGCTGTTGCAGCCAGCGGGCAACAAACACAAAATAATAACTCAATTCAATCAATGTCAAGTCAGTGCAACAGCAGCAGCAGCAGCAGCAGC